ACTCGCAGACTCCCCCCGAATCACGCTGCACTGCTTCAAGACCCCTTCTCTCTCATTTTTTTACAGAGAATAGCAATTCAGAATTTTACGAAGAACAGGTAACATTAAAATATTTATAGACTAAAAATATCTTTCTCACTAGTTAGGTGTAAGCTGCCTAATACTGTGAATGCTGTCGTCGTTGTCGTTGATACATGACTGCTCTAATGCTCTGTCTGGGTTCCTTTATGGGGGAAAATTAACTTAAAACAGATAGTACCATGGCCCCGCGAAAAGAAAAGACAATACCAAACGTTAAGTTGCATATTAAGGATTCCCCCCCCCTTCTTTTTTGACGAGATATAATGTTTTTCGCCTTTCTTTTGGATTCCGTAGTGCCCAAGATCCTGACGATTGGCTTTCACATCTTCTGGAGCTAAAATAGTTCAGCATGGCTTCGTGTTTTCCTTACAAACCAGACTGGACTCTGGGAGGGACCTATTTCTATCACTAGAAAATTTATGTCCAGGCTTCAAACCTACTGGTCCAAGTATGAAGAGCACTTCGAATGCCCAGAGTGTATGAATTTTGAGTTATAAAATGATAATAATTGGAACGAAAAGATATAACTACTCTAATGCTATCTCTGATTTTAATAAAGAGTTATTCAACTTATTTAAGTAAATTTAAAAAGTTTTTAAAATATATTGACTAATCAAGTATATTACTAAAACTATTATTATTATATGAATTATTTTGAAAATAAAAATAAATATGAAACATAAAATAACCTGAGATATCATATTTAATATCAAATTAAAAATTAAATAAACTCTTATAATATTTAGAATGGGAGATAACATCCAATTAGTTGTACCATCAACTTCGCAGAACCTGGCGAGGCAGCAATTTTGGACGACGTTAACTTGTTTGGGTTTGAGAGTGGGGGAAGTCAAACAGCAGGATCAAGAATGAGGCACAGGTTTTGAAATGAAAACAAACCTCGAAAAGCTTGCAGCATGGTGCTGAGGCATTCAAGGGAGAGGAAATTAGCGGGATGACGAAAATCCTCAGAGGGGCAACGCCATGTCGGACATTAACTCCACCTGTCGGCGTTGGATGCCTCTCCGCCTTTGCGTGTTCTCAGTTTCCGACCACCAAAACAAACACCGAACACTATCCATCTTCATCCAAGAAAGTATCTGGATTTTTCCAGAATTCAAAATAAACATATGAAATTATCTCTTTCCAATTTTACTGCTTTTATTAATTTTTTCCTATACTGACAAGTATATTTATAAATCATTGTCATATCTTTATTCTATCTCTTTTTAAACAAAATAAAATTAAAATAAAATTTAAAAATAAGTATAAATATGCTACAAGAGACGTATAGTTCTGACAAAAACTTTTCATTAGAGTCATAATGACTAATGATATGAAAAATTTCTTATAATCCCCTTGATACTCTTGTGGTTTTGTCACCGTCATGATACATGACAGACGCTGGCTAGGAAAAAAAATATATATATATAAAATATAGGAGAGAGAAAAAATAATAAAATAATAATATAAGAATAATTTTATTATTCTAAAAAATAAAATAGAAATTCTATTATTTTGGGATTAATTTAATGACTTTATGGAGTGGAGGGGTATTATTCTCTTTTGTCTATCATTGTGAAAAAAATTATAAAATTTTTTATCTAAAGACATGTTTATAAAAATTATTGTCATTTGTTTAAATTAACACTAATATCTGCATTTTTTTTAAGTTTTTTTTCCTTTTGCAATTTTCTCTATTATTTTTTTCCTCTCAAATGTCTTGTCTCTCTGTCTTTCTCAGCTTACCCCACTGCCTTTCAAAACAAATTTTGCAGACTTGGCTGTCAGAACCCTGCACCCACCCATCCTTACCCTTCTGGCTCTATTCAACTCCGTTCCTGTCTCGCATGTCTGCCAAAGTCACCAAGGAAACAAAAATCAAGCGAACCCAATTTTAACAGGCTTGCTCTGCTACCCAAAACCAAACCGAGTTGTAATATCACAAGCCCCACTCTCAACCAAAGTTTTAAAAGAAAAATTCCGTCCTTGGTAGCTTCTCTCTGTTTGTCTGCTCTGTCGATGGACTTGTATCTGAAGCAATGGAGAAACCAGGATGAGTCAGTGGCAGAGGAACAGCATTCTGCAAAGATGCCAAAACTTGTTCTCGAACCTCATCAAAAGCCACAATCATCTGCCTCTGCTCTCCCTCTGTTTGTACCAGAACCCAACGCTAAAGTCAGCACCTTGTCAGCATTATCTGATTCAACCTCAGCTTCTCCCAGAGTTCCCCGTAAGATTTATATTCCTTTCTTGCTAGTAACTGTAGCTGGGAGTCTGAAGCTTTTGATTAACTTCGCCGGTTAACTAGTTGCTTCCTTTACAAGTTTTGATTCAAGCTTGCGCCTTTCTTGTTCTGCATTTAACAGTTATTTGCCTATTTCATTTTCTCCTTTTACCCTTGTGGTTGTCAGGGATGGGGAATTATTTCAGCTTGGCTCAGTGGCAGGAGCTTGAGTTGCAGGCTTTGATTTTCAGGTACATGTTAGCCGGCGCTGCTGTGCCTCCTGAGCTTCTTCACCCAATCAAGAAAAGCCTTCTTCAATCCCCTTCCTATTTCCTGCAACACTACCCATCCTATGACCCTGCTTGTAAGTTTCTGGCTTTGTTCACCTTACTCTCGTTACCCGCTATTTTCTTTGCTCTCCTAAAAGGTTCTCCTTTTTATGTTGAACACAAATGCAACTTTTTGTCGTGAAAAAGAATCTCTTTTCTCTATTCTTCTTTTTGTAAAGTGAAATGAGATAAAGATGATCAGATTTTACGTTTTGCATTCTTGAGATTCCGTTTTGAATCAATCCACAGTGATTGGTTTTGAATGGTAAAGCTGCATGATGAGGGTTTTTTGTTGCAGCAGCATTGCAATCAGGGTATTGGGGAAGGGTAGCCATGGATCCAGAGCCTGGCCGGTGCCGGAGAACTGACGGCAAAAAGTGGCGGTGCTCTAGGGACGTGGTTGCTGGCCAGAAGTACTGCGAGCGCCACATGCATCGCGGTCGAAATCGTTCAAGAAAGCCTGTGGAACTACCCACACCAAAAACACTCCCGGTGGCAGTGACTTCGGCGGCGGCGGAGGCTCTGCCGGCGCTCCGATATCCATGACTGCGCCGTCATTGGCAATGGCTTCGCTAAGTTCCCCTTTCGATCTCCATCTTGATCAAAGGTAATTCTTCGCGCTAAAATGACTAGTAATTGGGGAAGCCAACATCCAAACGTCTTAGATTTTACGATCTCTGTGTAATGGTTATATATGAAATTGTGCTTAAGAAAAGGGTTCTTGGCTATAAGTTGGTGGGACACCTTTGTTTTGTTTTGTAATTGTTATTTATTTCACTTGTCAACCTTAATTTGAATATCCCTTCATCGGTAGCATTCAGAAGGCAAGCATAGATTGGATTGATTCCCAAATGAATAACCAAATAGCGGCCAAAAAAGATTAAAAAGGAGAATAATGCAGAGTTGTTGATCTTATCCCTGAGATGCACAACAGTAGGGCCCTAATAGAGGCCTGGCTGGCCACCATGTCTCGTACGAGGGAAAAGAAAATTCAGCTTCAGATGCCAAAGAAACCAAACCCCCAACCCCAAGTCCCCATAAACAACATTTAAAAAATGGCGAGTTTGTCTTGTGCTGTCCTGCAATTATTCGTCTACTTCATGGAACTCCATTTCCCTGGTTGATATTTTGCTGGGTCCTCTGTAGCAGTTCCTTTGGGACCAATAATGAAAATAAGAGCCGTTTTGGAATCCCAGATGATGGGGGTAGTGGGGATGGCAGATTTGACGGTCATATCCTGCGACGGTTTTTTGGATGACTGGCCACAATCACTTCAAAAATCTGACATTGCCGAAGGGAATGCTAGTAACTCCAACTCGGTGACATGTCTGTATATGTCGACACCTGGGAATACGTCGTCCGTCGGATCTGTTGTGGAAACTATCCACTGGCTATGGAGAAAATCTGTGTCCAAGAGAGCAGCAGCAGCAGATAAACTGGGCAGGAAGATGGAGTTCGGCTAATCAAGTGGCTTCCATGGGAGGACCTATTGCCGAGGCTCTGAGATCATCCGCTTCAACCTCTTCGCCAACTTGGTATTCTACGTCGCTTGCCTCGGGTTCTGCTTCTGATTAAGCGCGCTATTTAGCTGGAATTGTGGCTTCCCCTTGGAATGAACATGATCTCAGTTTTGAACAGGCCAGCAGAATGGGCATGATTCTTTGGTGTAAATACGTTTGATCCGGCTATCCTCAGTTTCGAGATTCCTAGTTAAATTGGAAAGGAAGAGTCATGCCACTACCTCTGTCTAGCAGCCATCCCGTTGGAACTCGTCTAATCACATGACAAATTGTTTAATGATACATGAACATTTTAGACCTTGGGTTTTTTTCAATTCAACTTAATATATATTTTTTATTTTAAATGATGGAGACTGTAAAGCGCCATCAATATGCATATGAACATCACTGGTGGACCAAAAGCATATTATATTTGGACTGACGCCTAGAAAGAGACGCACGCACCCCAAAAACAAAACCGGACCCATAACCATATTCAGTCAGGGGGCCAGCCAATTGGGCTAATCGCTTATCCCTCGTCACCACGCAATTATGCGGTGGGATCAAATTTTTATAATCAAGTCTCATAAAAGAGAAATAATTACCAAATCATTCTAATAACAATTTTAACAGTTTATAATGACAAGTTCTATAATAAAAATGATAATTTTTAAAACTTATTTTTTAATTATTTTACTTGTTTGGGATCTCATTGTAATTCTCCGTTCATTTATTCACAGTTGTTTGGCGATAAAGCTCTTCATGGTTGAGTTGGATCACCATCAAGCATGAGCAGATCATAACATGTAGGTCAAGCATAAAACTGCTTGTCGCTTGTACCGTCGTACCTGTACATCTGTTTCACCTCAACAGTACATTATGAATTGCTGGTCTTGACCAACAAAATTATTAAATTAAATCTCAAGAAACCGTGTACAAATTACAATACCCCGCAAATGTAAGTGGCAATCCCTGAGACGACATGTAGAAGATGCTCTATTACAAAAGCTTTGTAACTGGCATCGAATCCGACGTTAGTACTTTCCTGGCTTTGCATTTCCTCAAATGCTATGCCACTACCCATGTCATGTGCTAATACAAAAGCATGAAGTGCTATACATTATTTCTAACTTGGTGTTATTTCCCATTCTTTCTGCTTCATATTTTTCCGTCGTGATCAAATCACTATATAGGTTGTGGGCTGGCTAGATGGTCCTAGAGTTATTACTGCATCTATCATGCCATGATGCCCTTGTCACCTGTTTATCCAGGAAAGCAGCAGGTTACATCTTGCATCACATTGATTCTGGTCCAGGTGGTTTTTCAGCTTCATCATCCACAAGGGCATATACCGCTGCTGTTCTAGAAGGTGCATACACTAGAAAGGAACGAGGCCGGTCATCGTACCACCCTTCCTGCATAATCATCCAACAAATTTTAAGGATACGCTTTTTTCCGCTACGGAAGAGTCAGTTGTAAGATCACATGCTCAAGAATGCAGCGCACAGATGCACAGTATGTGACACAGCCAAACAAAACACAACGGCACCCTTGCAAGTGCCCACACACAGATAAGTTTAGAGGAAGTTCCATACCGAAGAGAAGAACTCAGCAGTATGATCGAGCCTGTTGAAGCCTCCAAACAATGAATCATCTGAATCCAAGACAATCTGGAAAAAGAAAACCCATAATCCATTATAAAAAAACTGATAATAACTTGGGCATTCGGATAAAGCAAAACTTAGCTGGAAGAGATGCCACCAATATCATGGCCTATGAGATTGATACATAGAGCAAATGTTTGCAGTACTGATGAAGGATTTACATTTCCACTAACATAAAATTCAAATCCAGTTCGTGTTCTATGTTTCACTTGGGAGATGAGAATCTCAATTTCTCAGAATGTCTGAATATTATGAAGTTTGAAATTTATTAGAAAGAATAGGACTCGTTGTTATCATTGTAGGGCTTCAAGTTCAAATTACTAATAAATTAAATTAGAATAATTAGAACAACCATGTACTAGACAATCATATTTTTTTTTGGCGTGTACTCATTTATTTGGTTTTGATAATTTCTTTTTAATTTAACAATTTCTCAGTATCTTAATTGAACGA